ACTATCTTTTTTCTCTCTCTTTTAGCGAAACCAGATTCCTGGCCCTAGTGATGACCAAAAAAGTTTTTTTCGTCAAAGAAAAAATTTTCATCACATTTCTGACTATGCAGAGGCTATAATAGGCCTGATTAGACATGGACAGGCCTGATCAGACCTGAGTGTATTTAATGCTTCAGAGATTAAAGACATGAACAGGCCTGGTCAGGCCTGAGCGTATTTACCGCTTCAGAGATGAACAGACATGAACAGGTCTGATCAGATATGGACAGGCCTGCTCAGGCCTGAGCGTATTTAACACTTCAGACATGAACAGGCATGGATAGGTCTGATCAGGCCTGAGCATATTTAGCACTTCAGACATGAACAGGCATGAACAGACATGATCAGGCATGATCATGTCTAATTTCAGGCCTGATCATACATGAACAGGCCTGATCAGGTCTAATTTCAGGCCTGATCATACATGAACAGGCATGGTCAGGTCTGATCATTTTTTCCCGGGCAATTATAATGCAATAAGATTAATAATATACAAGTTCAGATAATATGTTTGCATGAAACAGGAGGAGGGGGGGGGGCAAGATGGGTTTCCTAAAGTTTTTAGTACCTCTAAATTTTTGGGAGCATGATGGATCCTCTAAAATTTTTGGTACAAAATGGTTCCCTCAGCATTTTTTATACGACTAAAAGGGTTATGGGGGCAAATTAACTCTTTCAGAAAAAAATGCTCATTTATTTTACTCACTCTTTAATTTGATGTATGAAAATGTTATTGACTTAAGAATTTTTAAATAAAAGAATAAATATCGTAATTCAAGTCAAATTTTTTTTTTTATGTAAAACTTCATTGTAAAAGCTTTTAGTAATTAAATCTAAAAAAAAGTCATTTTTCGATCGATATATTTTATTTCTCCGTTTAAAGAAAATGTTGAGGGTACGAAAGACATGAGCTCATCGATAATGAGTCATATAAATACCTAAGGGCCTTATTATAATTACCTTATTGTAAATACGAATGAGTCAGTCTGGCATTAGCCCTCGTACCGAATAGGTCTATTTTATATTTGCTTATCTATGTATATTTATATTGTTAATATTACTAATTATCCTTGCCATCTAATAAATTTGTAATACCCCGAAATTGCGCCTATTTATTTCATCAGGTTATGGGCCCAGTGAAGAATACGCCCTAGTAAAAATAAATAACTAAATTAAGTGTTGTGAAAAAAAAAATCCATACGTGCCAGAAAATGGCAGCGTCAGTAAAAATTGATCAGTTAACGGGAGATAATTATAGTACATGGAAGATACACATGCGAGCCATTCTGAAAAAGAATGACATTTGGGGGTATGTATCTGGTGATATCCACAAACCAACGGAACCGGCGGACGCCGTAGCAAAATGGATCAAAAATGATGGCAAGGCTGAATCGGACATCCTGTTAGCGGTGAGTTTAAGCGAGTTAATTGCGCTGGACGGTTTGGAAAGCTCTAAGGAGATATGGGATAAGTTGAAGTCGACTTATGAATCAAGGGGACCTGCACGGAAGGCATCGTTGCTAAAGCATTTGGTATTAACACGTTTATAGGAGGAAGGTGACCTCCAGAAACATGTAAATGATTTTTTCGATTCAGTGAAGAAACTTAAAGAAATAGGAGTAAACACAAATGATGAATTATTGGCAATCCTATTGTTATATAGCTTACCTGAATCATTTACCATGTTTCGTACAGCAATTGAATCCAAGAATAAACTACCCAACACTGAAATTCTTAAAGTAAAAATATTGGAAAATTATCAAGGGAGAAGAAATCAGGAAACGGCCTCGAACCAGGGAGCTATGTATGTAAAGAAAGAAGATCATGCATACAAATGGAAAAATAAACAATACCAAAAGAAAAAGGGCGACGATAAAAGCCGTAAAAATAAATTTGAAACAGAGTGCTACCGCTGTGGTCGAAAAGGCCACATTGCACGATATTGTAGGACCAAGGTCGATACGAGATATAAACAAAGTGCGCGTCATACGAAGGAGCAAAGCGATAACGAGTCATCGGACTCGCAAAATCCAAAGACAATGCTAAGTACAATCGATGAGGTAATGTACGGAGAGGGGACTAGAGCCGAGTGGTGTGCATCGACAGTGGCTGTACTGCACACATGTGCAACGATAAGAATTTGTTCCGGGATTTTTCGTATGTGGATAATGAACTAATGCTTGCGAATAATGGAAGTACTCGAATAAAAGGAACAGGTAACATTAAGTTGAGTGTAGACACTGGGCGCGAAGAGTGTGCAGTTAATCTAGTAAACGCATTATACGTGTCAGATTTACGGACTAATTTGTTATCAGTGTCAAAAGCCACGGACCACGGGCATGAAGTAAGATTCAGTAAAAATGATGCGATAGTTTTAGACAAAAACAATGAAACGGTAATACGAGCCGATCACAACGATGTAACGATAACGTTCAGCGACGCTATGTACAATGAAACATTGATTGCTATTGAAGATCTCTGCATTATAATTGCTAATTTATCACTCAGTCATTTCGGTATGAATTCGCCAGATCGAGCTGTATCTGATTTCATGAACACGGAAATGAATCGTGAAATGCAGTACAACACTGTAGAAATGGCGGCGATTGTTACTCGCAATGTCCCATTAATGAATGAGGAACAAAAAATCATTTACGACCGCATTATGCTCGCAGTTTCAGCAGGACAAGGTGGATTCTTCTTTTTGGATGCACCAGGTGGAACTGGAAAAACATTCCTTATTTCGCTAATTCTTGCTGAAATACGATCAAATAATGGCATCGCATTGGCCGTTGCATCATCAGACATTGCTGCAACTTTATTGGATGGAGGCAGAACAGCTCATTCAGTATTTAAGCTGCCATTAAATATTCAAAATAACCCTGACGGAGTGTGCAACATAAAAAAGCAATCGTCCATGGCCACCGTGCTGAAACAATGTAAAATTATCATCTGGGATGAATGTACTATGGCGCACAAACATTCACTTGAGACGTTGAACAGGACGTTAAAAGATATCAAAAACAACGACAAACTATTTGGCGGCACTCTGTTAGTCCTTTCAGGTAATTTCAGGCAAACACTTCCCGTCATTCCACGTTCAACATACGCTGATGAGATTAATGCTTGCTTAAAATCATCTACACTGTGGCGTAATGTTGAAAAAGTACAGCTGAAAGTAAATATGCGCGTTCAAATGCTTCAAGATCCATCCGCTGAAACATTCTCAAAACAACTCCTAGATATCGGTGATGGAAAAGTAACTATAGATGAGACTGGATGCGTAAAATTACCGACAGATTTTTGCACAATCGTTGACTCGCAAGACACTCTCATTGAAAAAATATTTCCCGATGTACACACACAGTACTTAAATCATGAGTGGCTTGCAGAAAGAGCAATTTTAGCGGCAAAAAATGTAGACGTTGACAATTTGAATCTGAAGATACAACAGTTATTGCCAGGGAACTTGGAATCATATAAATCTATTGACACAGTTTGCGATGCGAGCGAAACTGTAAATTTTGCGACAGAGTTTTTGAACTCACTGGATTTGCCAGGTGTGCCACCGCATAATTTACAATTAAAGGTTGGATCTCCGATTATCATGCTTCGCAATTCGAACCTGCCACGGCTGTGCAACGGTACGCGATTGGTCATTCGAAAATTAATGAAGAACGTCATCGAAGCTAGCATTTTAAATGGAAAGTTCCGAGGTGAAAACATATTAATACCACGGATTCCTATAATACCTACGGATGTGCCAATTCAATTAAAGCGTGTTCAGTTTCCAATTCGATTGGCATTTGCCATGACCATCAATAAATCCCAAGGCCAAACGATGTCGGTTTGTGGCTTAGATTTAAGCACGCCATGTTTTTCACATGGACAATTATACGTGGCATGCTCTCGAGTGGGTAAACCATCAAGTTTGTTTGTGTTAGCTAAAGATGGGCTAACAAAAAATATTGTTCACGTTGTAGCATTAAGAGACTGATATTTTTTGATAGTGTTGCCGTTCTTATCGAATAATGATACGTTTATATATATTACAGAAATAAATTATGATGAATTATTAATAAATATAGTGCTTGGCGTTTGTTATTTCTATATTCCCTTATCGTTCACAGCATTACACACCTATTTCGTGCATATACCACATCCTTACACACTTAAAATAGGTTAGTTATTTTCTGTCGGCACTAGAAAGTACATAGAAATTATTTATATGGCAAAATAACGTTTGCCGGGTCAGCTAGTATAATATATGATTATCATATATGATTCCATATATTTTAGTAAATATAAAAAATATATAATTTCGTCATATATAGAATCATATATTTGTGTTATGCTGGAAAAAGGAGCTCAACAGAACCTCTAAAGACCAAGTGAACTCTCAAAAACGGGTGTTTCGAATATTTATCACTTTTTAGATTTCATAGAGATTGAGAGTCTGTAAATGTATATGGAGTGTTCCAGGCTGAATCTACTATGACTTCCATCTCGTTTAATACGGTTGAAATTTCTTTATGATTTTCAAACCCGCCAAATCATTTCTGATTTTTTATTCAATTTTTATACAAGTTATGCATAAAAAAGGTTCTTTCTTTTACATGACTATAAATCATTAATTTTTCAAAAATTAACCTATAAAACAATTTTTTAATGTTCTTTAGAACAAATAGAAAAATGCTTCATAAAAATCTTGCTGTCAGGTTTGTTTTTAAGGATTTTGCAAAGACAAAAAAAAATTTTTTTTGATGGTTCTCGATGATTGTCGGTCCTGTAATTAGAAAGTTTTTTTTTGTTGTACCTCCTATTTGTATAAATAAATAAATAAATAATTAAATACCCATTTTTGATTTGTCTATTTATTGTATCAAATTAGGATATTTTTATAGTATACCAAGTCTAAATTTTAGACTTTCCTTGAACTTAATGAACTTTTAGAACTCGATTCAACCTTCATTGGATTTTAATAGATCTATAAACTGAAAATAAATTGTTTTGACTTTCATGGACTTATTGAGACAATTAGGCTCATAAACTCAGATTTTATGTTCGAATAAGCCCTATTTAGTTTTTGAAAGCTTCCCTAAAAAAGTTATAAACCTTATAAACCTTATAAGTTATAAACCTTAAAGTTACAAATTTATAAACCTATCTAAGTCTAAGCCAAGTCTTCAATAACCTTCAAATTGAAAGGAAGTTTGAAATTTTGATTCGGACTTGACAACTGTATAAAATAGTTTTTGAAATCTTTATTATTTTAATTCAATATTATGAGTTAACTAAATGAAACTCAAACAATAAATAAATGTTTATTTTAAATACAATAAATATTTTTTACAAAGAAAAAAAATTTTTTTTTTAATTTTCGATTTTTTTTGTTTGTCCTTTTTTTTTTATTTAAATTTACTGATGAGCCGAGGCAAATTGAGAGCAAACTGAAAAAAAATCAATTTTTCATTTTTCTGAAGATGGCAGCACGATAATGGATAAAATCTTATTTCTTTAATTTTTTCAAATTTTTGAATTATCGGGGCGGAAAAACTTCTCAATGGGTCAATCTGATAATTTACAGGGTTTTCAGGGGTACATTGAGGTGTAAAAATTTCTGCAAATTCTAGCTTCCCCGTTGATATTTGTTAAGATACAGTCCATTAACCAAAATAAGAATAAAAGTCACTTTTTTCAACTTTCTTTAACGCGATACCATACATCGACAAGATTTTTTTTCCAAAATTTTTTTATAGGATTTTATTGGGAATTTCTTCCAGTTTCCAAAACTGTCCTTTTTTTGCTGTGTGATTATTGGTTGCAGAGATATTGATGATTAAAGACATAAACGTCCTTTTTCGTGTAATCTCGGATATCTTCGCAACAAATAATCGTATTAAGCTCAATAAAAAATAAAATTAAAGCTGAATAAACAGGCTATCTGTTCCATAAGGTCGCTTTATCTGAAAAAATATTTCCAAGCCCGGAGAGCAAAAAAAACTCAAAAATTTCGAAAATTTTTTCTTCGCTCTATTTCTACGGATCATGTTAAAACCATAATTCCTAAAAAATTTTGACCTTAAGATCTGAAAACTAGAGTTTCAGAGCTTTAAAATGCATTTTTCATATTTGTGATACGATCATTTTCCGCTGAAATACAGCCCGTCAAAAATCTAAAAAAAAATGTGCATTTTTTTTTATTCCCTTAATTTTTGTGAGTAGTGTATTTATTATAAAATTGATAGTCATCTAAAACGTTATCACAGTTTTATTTAATTTATTTAATTACAAATCCAAAAAATATATCAACACTCAATGAATTAACAAAGAAATCAAACTTTCACACAAATCAATCAATTAAATTCATATTTACTAGTATCACGTCAATAATTCCAATTCGCAAGTAGGTAAACAAGCCACATAAAAGTTAAGTTTGGGCATTTCTATGATTACAATTTTCTTTTTGATAAATTCTGTACTTACAGCTGTTAATGTACCAGTTTTTTTATTTAACATTACTAAGTGATCGAGTTTCATATCTTCAAGAAAAGGTTCATTTTTTAACGAGTAATAGAAGCCTAACAAATAACTTTGTTGACAAGAATCTGATTTAAAACCGATAAAACTATTTATCTCAAAAATTTGATTATTTTGTAGCATCACCACATAGTTCACTCTTTTTTTCTCCCGACAGTAATTTTTGCTAGTTAAAATTTCATTATTAATAATACATCTATTGAACGTGAATATCGAGCCAACTTGATTGACTTCAATATTCGCACGTTCAATCGCAAGGTACTGATTCGCGGTTAATTTACTTAAAACCTTTGGTTTACCTAGAACGTTACAGTTATTAATTTGTAACTTAGATACCGGCTTATTTCTTCTTTTTAATAAATTTGTTAAAAATTCCCTCTGACGATAATCTAAATTATCCCAACATAAACATATTAATCGGTCGATTACACATTTTAATCGAAAAGAATCGCATATCTGTATTTCGACGCCATTAGGACTATTTACATACGCCTGTATCGTTTGGTTAAAATCTTCGTAGATAAAGGCGCTGTGTGTGTACAGAGGACCCCAGTTTTCGACACTCGTAGGTAGATGGGCCAAAAGATGGACGTTAAAGCTCACATATTCTTCTCCATAAAGTGATTCAACACCAAGAATAAAGTTATTCAAACATTTAGCAGCATATTTTTCTTCCGACTTCATAATTGACTTTTTAACTAAAATCGAAATACCTTCTACTAATAAAGCCCAATGATCAAGGTACTTTTTCGGAAAAAACATTTTCAATAGAGGTAAACTATATATTAAAAGGAAAGTAATCCATTCATGAGCTTTCATGTGGACGCGATCAGATAACGGTCTCGGTGTTCTTGAAATGTCAGATGTTGGACGAAACGATGTGAGGAAAGAATCGACTAAATCAATTATGTCTCCAAAATAAAAGTCTTTGTCCCAATTTGTTTTGTCGAACCATAAATTACCAAATTGACGAACAACACCAAGGCCAACGCAATGCATCCAATCAACATCCAAGTTGTTGATGATGTCGTAATTTGGTATTTCACAGAGGACGGATACTTTTTTTATTCCTTTTCTTTTTGCTTTTGTTTTTTGCTCCGCATGCAACAACGTCTCTTCATGTGTTCTTAGGCCTTCTCCAAAAGGATTGCCATTGATCATTGGATAGACTCTCGCATAACCTTTGCCTTTTTTAACTGATTTCCCTGGATTCAAGCATAACCCACATCCGAATTCACCGTTGAATTGCGTTGAACATCGTACAAGTGATCGAGCAACTGAGTCGCAAATGCCCATCAAAATAACAACCCTTTTTTTATAGGTTTGGTTTTTGTAAGAATAAGTAAATCCATCTTGTACTAGCGTCTTCGCTTCGGTGGCAAAAGGTTTTAAATAACTGTTCATATTTTTTGGCTTACTTACGCCAAACCAAACACTCGATAATAGAATGTTATCTCTTCTCTCGTAAGGATTTAATTCATTAATGGTGCAAAGAACAGGATATACTGATGTATTTGAGCCTTCAAAAATCAGTGCTCCGTCCAAATTAAAGTTGATGGATATCATGTCATCATCCAAAACTTGCTTTTTATACATTTTACCGTCATATATGTCTTCGATTGCGTAACGATTGATTTTTTTACGATTTTTTGAATACAAATTATGCGCATCAGTTCTTTCAAATAAATCTTTAAGCTGATCGCCCAATGGTATGCATAAAAATGAACCTTTATTAGATTCATAATCAACTTCTAAATGACAAGAGTCACAGCAATCAAGGCGATTAGCTTCACAACCTAAATAATTGCCGCAATTATCACAAATATAATGAGTTGAAATATGTTGAGAATATCGGTCTAAAATAATTTTCCAGTAATATTTCGAACTTTTAGAATTATTAATTTTTGAAGAAATATTCACTAATTTTAAAATCTCTTGAGCCAAAGTATGAGTCGTATTATACCGCCATTTGATTGCCATTACTAGAAGATTACTGATAAGCTGATTTATGGGAATTTCTTTTAAATCATGACCTCTTTCCTTATTTACAGCTGTATTTACAGGGTTCCTTTCTACCGTAACGTCATTTTCATTTCCAGTCGGTTCGCTAGGATTTTTATTGTCTATATCTATATTTTCATGAGTTACTTCTTGTATTTGTTCCTCGTCATGCTAGAAAAATCATGAAAACTCAATTACTTCGTTTCTACTTAATACACTAGTCACAAAAATCAATGGATATAAAAATTCTAAATTTTTTGGTGATTTTCAACGAGCTGTAACTCAGAGGAAAATGATCATACAATTAAAAAAATGCAAATTGTAGCTCCAAGTGTTTAATTTTTATATACGACCATGAAAATTTTTCATCATGTTTAAAGCTGGAGATATCCTAAGGAAACTACCAAAAAAAAAATTTTCCAAATTTTTTAAATTTAGAAAATTTAATGCCCTTTAATCTTACGTAATCAGATAGCCTGTACGATGATTTTCCGTGGAGTTATCGTCAATCAAAGCAAAAATTTTTTTTTACTTTGAAAATCAATAACTCTGGGAATAATTATCGTATAAGAAGTCAAAGAAGGGTTTTGAAAACTACACAACACTCTCTATGAGATACTGTGAATGGCTTTTGACGAAAAATTATAAATATTTTAGTTAATTTTAATTTATTTTAATTCATTGTAATGAATTTTAATTAATTTACAAACATGTATGGAATTCACTCACATTCCATGCTTGTAAAGGTGGACCCTAGGATCTCCGCCGTCCATCTTACGGCATAAAATAAATATTATTATTTTTAACGAAATTATTAATTTTAGTTAATTTTAATTTATTGTAATGAATTTTAATGAATTTTAATTAATTTACAAACAGAAAAATTATAAATATAACACAAAGAATAACACAAAGTTATACTAAGTTATCGAAATATCCTTAATTATGCGAATTTTTATCTTTTTTTTCAGTCAAAGTTTTCAATCCAAAAAAAATTTTTTCGTCAAAAGCCATTCACGGTATCTCATACAGAATGTTGTGCTGTTTTTAAAACCCTCCTTTGACTTCCTATACGATAATTATTCCCAGAATTATTGATTTTCAAAGTCAAAAAAAAAATTTTTTGCTTTGATTGACGATAACTCCGCAGCAAATCATCGTACAGGCTTTCTGATTACGTAACATTAAAGGGCATTAAATTTTCTAAATGAGTTATTGAGTGAAACAATGAAAAAAAATTCTTTGAAGCCCGTAGACCGTTTCTTAAACGAGAAAAAATTTGGAAAAATTTTTTTTTTTGGAGTTTCCTTAGGATATCTTTAGCTTTAAACACGATGAAAAATTTTCATGGTCGTATCTAAAAACTAAACACTTGGAGCTACAATTTGCTTTTTTTTTTATTGTACGATCATTTTCGGAGTTACAGCTTGTTGAAAATCACCAAAAAATTTATAATTTTTTTTTATTCCCTTAATTTTTGTGACTAGTGTACTAATAAAATTCTAGGCATGATCAATTTTAAATTATTATAACCAACATTTTTTTATCTAATTCCAAAAATAATTTGATTAATGATTTTTTAGGAACATTATATATGCTACATAAAGGACTAGGGTTTTCACACACAAAAAAATAATTGCTATTTAGAAGTTATAGCGATATTTTAGAAGAATATAATTTTAAATTCGTAAATTGAGGTTAATGACATTTATTGTTTGTATGTTAAAGTTTGAAACTTATGTATTGAGTACAGTTGAAGACATAGGAAATTACTCTTCTAAATCATAAAATTTACTAAGTGATTGTGGAATTTTACCGATGAGGCATCGAGAGCTCAGCATTTTAAACATGAAACAGCAAAATTTGACATTTATTTAAAATAATTTTTTTTTCCGTATGAAATAATCATACTATAAAAGCATTAAATTGCTATACTTACTTTCGATAGGATATTTACATTATTTCTCATTAACAGCTGTCGATTACTTCTAGCTTCGTTTTTGCCATGCTTATTTCTTAGAAAATTTCTTATTTCGGTATCTAATTCATCAAAATCGCTATCCTGTAGTGATTCTTTCTTTTGTATACTTTTTTTAATTCTAAAATATTATGAAAACAATAATTTTAAATTTTTCTACCATACAATAACTTTAAGATAATAAAAGAAGAAATTAAACACTAATTAACAACGTAAAAATATTTTTCTATTAACCACAACTTACTGATTAAAATATTTTTTTTTTCGCCAAGTGTACTTGGTTCTTGCAGGAATTTTTTCCGTGCTCCCATACACATTATATCGTTTGTAGGATCCACGTCTTTTTTTATTAATAGCACCGTTGACTATCCTTCTTTCGTTATTTCTATCTGGTATCTTCGAAGACATTTATATACAGGTTATTTTACAAAAATGAACGGATAACATAAATATTATTAATTACTTTCTAAAGTAAGATCTTAAAATAATAATTAGTATCTTACATTTCCAAGTGATGTTGGGCATATACTAATTTTTACCATAGTCAAATTGTAAAATGCTGAAAGAGCGGAAAAACTAAGGATCAGGTTTCGGTCTGGTTATCTCAATTAAAATACAAAAATTATTATTAAGAATATCACTAGAGATTTATTTACTATAAATACACTCAATATTTAATATATTCAATAGCGGATTGATAAGAAAAAAGCGGATTTATAAAACACAGCGTGGATATCAATGCGAAGCCGGTCAGCACGTGGTTGAGCAAATTGCCGGCACTGTAAAAAGCGGTGAAACAAAAGCAAATAAACACAATTTATCTGAAACAAACTGAAGCGAAATATTAGCGGTTAATTTAAGCAATTTAAATTATAAAAATAGCGAAATGCGTTTAGTTAACGATGAGCGAAATAAAATAGCGGGAAAGCGAAGCGTTAGACTTAATGGCGGAGAAGCGAAAGATAATAATAACAGTTCGTCTTCTTCCTCGTTGACTTGGGAAAGAAGGCTCCTGCGCATGTCTAGCGAGAGCGATAGCCAATAAATAAATTCGTTCTATTGATGTCGACATCGATAGCCAACGGTAAAATTCGATACATGTGGCGTGATCAGTCAAGCGGTTTGCGCAAGCGGGTGAGAAATAGCGGGAACGATGGCTTGTCAGGTGCGTGTTGCAAATTTGGGGAGCCCACAGTGACGCATAAAGATGGATGCGAAAGATAATAATAATAATTCGTCTTCTTCCTCGTCTTGGAGAAGAAGGCTACTGCGCATGTCTAACGAGAGCGATAGTCAATCAATAAATTCGTTCTATTGATGTCGACATCGATAGCCAATGGTAAAATTCGATACCTGTGGCGTGATCAGTCAGGCGGTTTTACGCATGCGGGTGAGAAATAGCGGGAACGATGGCTTGTCAGGTGCGTGTTGTAAATTTGGGGAGCCCACAGTGACGTATTGCTCACTGAGTGGGCCTGTTCACCGAACACAAATTTTATGACTTGCTTTGATAAATTAAATTTTTATTTATATGCTATGACATTTTTGTAAGTAACAATAATTTTAATAATCTTTAATAAAATATGATTAATTATTTGTTATATAACACCAATAGCATTCAACATCCATTGATGTGAGAAAAAAAATTGACTATCGCTGTTAGTTTATAAATTTATTTAAAAGCTGTCATTCTGTCACTAGAATATTATTTATAAACGTCAAGTTTTCTCCAGTTTAACGATTTTAATTATTCAATTTTCGTACTTGTCTACTCTAAAATAAATAAATAATGAGTACAAATCGGTCGGTAGAAAATAAAAATAATGAAAAAAATTTATTAAAAAAATTTGGTAAATATAAATTATATATTTGCTTTACAGATAATATCAAAACATTGAAAAAGCAAATTACGATTTTTGAAGGAATCGTCTCTCCTCTTCGCCCTGTAAAAACTCTCAAATCTCTCAAAGCTCTCAAAGATAAAAAAGAAAATGTAAAAGTCCCTGAACTAGTGTTACCACATAAGAGAAAGCCAGGATCGGTTAATGACACTGAAGCTTCAACTTCTGGTCTTTCTGTAACTATTAAATTATCTCAATTTAGCATATTAACTAAACAAAAAGTTGGGCTTATTTTCTTTACCTATACAATTATACATAACACACTGATAGAAAGATTTATTAACTATTAACAATTTGATTTATTTGAGGATATTAATTTAATTTATTAAATTTAAATAAATATTTTTTAAAATTTAATAAATATTTATTTGGGAGAAAAGTACATTTATTAATATTTAATAAATATTTATTAATAGTTAACAAATATTTATTAACAGTTAATAAATATTTTGTTGAGTGAATTTGTTTGGCTTGCAATGTCATATGATATGAAGGTTGCTTATAAACAAAAATCATCTTTATAAATTATTTGCATTAATTATATTAGATTATAATAACATTTATTGTAAACTACCAAATTCTATCACAGCTCATAATTATCTTTTATATTTTTAAATATTAAAAACGTTAATTCATTAAGTGAATTGCATTATTATCATGTATTCCAGTTACAGAGTTATAAAAAGTGTCAAAAGAAAATTGGTATTTTTGCTTTTTATCCTAAATAAATATTTTTTAACAGTTAACAAATATTTATTAACAGTTAAATAAATTCTATTTAATAGATACTTATTAACTGTTAATAAATATTTGTTAACTGTTAACAAATGTATATTAATATTTAATAAAATGTATTTGATAAATAATTTATTAACTGTTAATAAATATTTATTGAATCCCATGATGTTAAAAAATCATTTATTAACAGTTAATAAAGCTTATTAAATATTAACAAATCCTTCGATCAGTGTAATAATATTAGATAAAATACAGATCTAATAGTTTCGTTTAAAAATAAAATTAAATTCAGTGACATCTTCTTTGATTTAGTTTAAATTGAATACAGTTTAAGGTTAATCTACGTCCGTAACTAGATCTATCTTCTTATATCATAAAAAATTAACTTATTTATTTATTATTCACGAAATTTTTTCTTAATTGTTACTTATTGAAGAAAGAAATAAATTTTTTTCGGAATTTTTAAGAACTCAAAAACCAAAAGATCAAAAATGCCGAATCGTCAGAAGATGAAATTGTGACCACTGTTCCTGAAAAAACTTTGCAATCTGTAAGATTATTTTTAAAAATATAGAAACAAATTATTTATTCCAGATTTGTATTTAAATTTTCCTCTATAGGAAGGACGGGAAAAACAGGGTTCACTTTTTCATGTAAAAGAGTACCCCATTTTGCCCGCCCTTCCCCTAAATTACGGGTTTAATTAAAATTTTTACAAATTATATATAAATAATTTATTTGATTGCTCAAATGTCGCAGGATAAAAATTCAGGAAGCCGTAGAGGAACAATAGAGAATGATAATAGCAGGAATGACCAAGAGAAGGATCACAGTGGAGAGCACATTGAGGAAGAAGTAGTTGAAACGTCATCATCGGAGAACGAAGATAATGATGAGACTACATTTTCACAGCGGTCTCAGCGTAATGGTAGATATCAATATATTTTATTCGAAATTTCATTTTTGATGCAGACATGTATAACTTTTTTTTTAATTAATATCAATTGGTTAAAGTTACTTAATTTTGATTGATCAAGTAAACGTTGAGACAAATACATAAAAATTAATTCGATTTTCACTAGAAGGAACGGAGATTATTATGCGGACATTATTGAAACTGCGGAAGGAAATTAAGGATGTAAGAGAAACTCAAGTCAATATGATGAATGCACAAATGAATCAAGGTGTACAAAACGAAAATCGTAACGATCAAGTAAGTCACGTTGTCTTATAGTCTCAGTCATTTACCCTCGATCTTTCAATCTCAGTTTCGGTTTCTCAGTCAAGAGTACTTGGTCGAGGATTCTTAACCTCATAACGTTAGTTTCCTATTAGTAGGCACATGGAATGAATTCTCAGAATTTTATTTTTGGTTTACCAGTAGTGGGCACTTGGACTTGGATTCTAAATTTTTTGGTTTTGTTGATTAGTCGTATGAGCACTTAGACTTGAATCTTGTTTTTTATTTACCAGTCATGGGCACTTGGATTTTATTTTTAACTTCCCGCTAAGAAAATTGGAAATTTTCAAAAATCGGGAAGTTATTGGTTTTACCCCGTTTTGCAAAAATCGAATTCTCATCAGATCTCGACGTTCTGAGGTCCTAGGAAGCTTCTCTGACTACTCTCGCGAGGGTGTCACTACGTTGGTGTGTGTGTGTGTTTTTTTTTTTGGGGGGGGGGAATCCTTTTTACGGATTCTAGGCATAGTTGTTGGCCTGGATATGTGGCGACTCGACGCAGCGTCACACTAAAACTCGACGCTGACGCCCCTACCCACTAAACCCTAAGCCCCTTTCTCTTCTATCCTCTGATCCCTTATGGTACCGCCGTAAGACATTTCTTCGCGGGGGAAGGAATTAGCTGCCGCTCTTCCTTCTAGTGGCTAAGATGTTATTTCTTCCTTCTAGTTTCTGTTATTCGCTCTTTTTCTTTCAATGGAACGCAGCTTTGTAAGGACTTCTGTGGCAAAAGTGTTCGTTGCATTCCAG